GCTACAGTAATCAAAATAGTATGGGAAATGAGAGCCCAGAAATAAACCCACACACATATGGTCAATTAATCTATGTCAAAGGATGCAAGAATATAAAATGGGGAGAAGACAGACTTTTCAGTAAATAATGTTGGGAAAACTGGATAGCTACATGCAAAAGAATCAAATTGGACTACCTTCTCACACCATATACAAAAATAAACTCAAAATGGATTAAAGACTTAAATATAAGACCTGAAACCATAAAATTCCTAGAAGAAAACATAGTACACTGTTCGACATCAGTCTTAATATTTATTTTGGATCTGTCTCCTCAGATGAGGGCACTAAAAACAAAAATCAACAAATGGGACTACATCAAACTAAAAAAATTTAGCATAACAAAGGAAACTATCAACAAAACAAAAAGGTAGACTACTGAAATATTTGAAGATATTTGCAAATCATACATCTAATAAGGGGTTAATATCCAAAATATACAAAGAACTCATACAACTCAACATCAAATAAAAAAATTAAACAACCTGAGTAAAAAATTGGCAGAGGACCTAAATAGACATTTTTCCAAAGAAAACATAGAGATGGCCAACAGACACATGAAAAGGCATTCAACATCACTAAGCATCAGAGAAATGCAAGTCAAAACTACAATGAGATATTACCTCACACCTGTGAAAATGGTTCTTAGCAAAAAAGCAACAAATAACAAACGTTGGTGAGCATATGGAGAAAAGGAAACTCCTGTGCACTCTTAGTAGGAATGTAAGTTGGTATATCCACTATGGAAAACAGTAATAGCTTCCTCAAAAAAAATTAAAAATAGGATTACTAAAATCTGGTGCTTGCTGTTGTATTGCCAGATGCAAAAATGCAGCAGAACACTGATGCTCCCTCCACAAGCTCTTGTCGTCGACCAAGCTCTTGATTTTTAAAATCTGGACTTAGCCAAGTATATTTGGCCACGTTAAAAATAGTATCTTTGTTATTAAAAATTTGATTGCATAATTTTAAAAATTAGAATTACTATAAAATCCAGCAATCCCACTTCAGGGTATTTATCTAAATAAAACAAAAACACTAGTTCAAAAAGATGTATGCACTCCAATGTTCATTGCAGCATTATTTATAATAGCCAGGATATGGAAGCCACCTACGTGTCCATTGGTAGATGGATAAAGAATATGTGGTAAATATATAAACAACGGAATATTACTCAGCTATAATAATAATGAAATCTTGCCATTTGACATAATGTGTATTGATTTAGAGGGTCTTATGCTAATGAAATATCAGAGAAAAACAAATACCACATGATCTCATATATGAAATTCAAAAAACAAAAAAAGAAAGAAAACAAAATGAAAACAGACTCTTAGATACAGAGAACAGACAGATATTGCCAGAAAGTTGGCATTGGGGGATGTGAAATAGGTGAAGATTAAGAGGTACAAACCTCTAGCTATAAATAAATAAGTTACAGGCATGTAATATACAGCCTAAGAATATGGTCAGTAATATTGTAATATATTTGTTTGGGGACAGATGGTTACTAGACATAATGTGGCAATCATTTCATAATGTATGCAAATGTCAAATCATTATGTAGTGCACATGAAAGTAACATAGATTGTGCATCAAGTGAATTTCCAAAAATTAAAATAAATTAAAAAAAATTTTTTAAATTACAACCTGCCTGCTATGGACTGACTTGTGTCTCCCCAAAATTAATATGTTGAAATCCTAACCACTGTATGACTGTATTTGGGGGAGACGCCTTTAAAGAGATCAGACAGCAATTAGATATAAAAGGCTGGAGTTTAAGAGTGAGGTTTAGAATAAAGATATAAATTAGGAAATTATTGGCATATAAATTTCATTTAATACCATAAGACTGCATGCCATCTCCAAGGATATAAGCATAAAATAAAGAAGAAAGGAGTATGAAAACTAAGCCCTCAAGTATCGAATAGAAAGAAGTTGTGGAAAAGAGGAGCCATCCAAAGGGGAAGCAACCATTTGTTAAAAAAAAAAAAAAAAAAAAGAATGTGATATCCTGACAGAAAAAAGAGTAAAACCTATCAAGGAAGAGAAAGTAATCAACTGGGTCAAATGCTGCTGACTTGGAAAGTATGATGAGGAATGAGAATTGGTCATTGATTTAAGCAACATAGAAGTCATTTGTGATCTTGACACTAGAAGTTTTAGTAAAATAGTAAGGACTAAAGTCTCACAAGAATTGGTTTAAGAGAAAATGGAGAAAAGTTAATGTAGACAACTCTTTTAAGAAGTTTTGCTGCGGGCTTCCCTGGTGGCGCAGTAGTTGAGAGTCCGCCTGCCAATGCAGGGGACATGGGTTCGTATCCCAGTCTGGGAAGATCCCACATGCCGCGGAGTGGCTGGGCCCGTGAGCATGGCCGCTGAGCCTGCGCGTCTGGAGCCTGTGCTCCACAACAAGAGAGGCCGCGATAGTGAGAGGCCCGCGCCCCGCGATGAAGCGTGGCGCCCGCTTGCCACAACTAGAGAAAGCCCTCACACAGAAACGAAGACCCAACACAGCAAAAATAAATAAATTAATTAATAAACTCCTACCCCCAACACCTTAAAAAAAATTAAAAAAAAAAAAAAAGAAGTTTTGCTGCAAAGGGAAGTGGAGAAATCAAAACACTTTGATGTCAGAGATGTCATAATTTGCTTATGAGTTGGAGTAGTGCAGGGGAAAAAGAAAGAAATCCAGGATGACTCCCAAATTTTGGATACAGAAATTGTCATTCACTGAGTAAGGAATACTGCAGAAGTAGGTGGGGGAAATTAAGGTTAAGAATCCCATCTAAATAGAAATGTTTAATAGGTCATAGGACATGTGAATTTGGAGTCTAGGGAGGAAGTTCATGGCTGAAAATATTGGCATCATCAGCATACAGAAGGTATTTAAAACCATGAGACTAGATAAGATCACCATGGAGTTAAAAAAAATGGGAGTTAGTAGAACTGTGGTGCACCTGGAAGAAGAAAAGAAATTAGCAACGGAGACTGATAAGGCATAATCAGAAAGGAGAAAAACAGAAGTTTTGAAAGTATTTCAAGGAGCAGAGCATGATCAACTGTGTCATAGCATGATGTTAGAACAAACAATCTAAGGAACAGAGACCCAACCATATGGTTTTAGCAATAGAGACCATCGGTGATCTTTACAGGAGCAGTTAGAGTAGAATACTGGAGGTAAGAGCTTGATTGGAGTGGGTTCAAGAGTGAATAGAAAGAGAATAATTGGAGATAACAAATAAGGCACAAATAACTCTCGAGAAGTTTTGCTATAAAAGAAACATAGAGACTGGGTGAAGGCTGGAAGGAGAGAAAATTTTGAGACAATTTTGTTTTGATTTGTTTTTAAGTGGGAAAAATACCTGCATGCTTGCTTTAGAGACATTTGTGGGGGAGGTGGGGAGGAGAGAGACACAACTGAGATGGATTGACCTCTTCTTTACAATATCTTAAGAGGGCCACCCCTTGAGAGGCATAAAGTTGCCTTAGAGTGGATTCATGTTTCTACTGTAGTTAAAAGTTGGAAGAATGTTCAGAAAGAAGAATGAGTATATGGCAATTTTACTAATGATGGATTATCAATTCCAAAGGCCCTAATAAAAGGATTTTAAACAGTAAGGAAGGATGACAACTGAGACAGAAAGAGGAAATGTACAGACTTCTACGGGGATTAGAATAAAACAGATGAGGCACGACCTATCTGTCTGGAGTTGCTTGAAATGACTGACATAAATAGAAGTCAATGAAACAATAAGTCCTGAGGGACCCAAGGCAAGTATTGGTGAAGCAGTGTATGTTGGGGTCTAGGGAGAGCCGAGTGTCTTGGTATCTCTTCTTCCCACCTTTATGTTTGGCATACACAGCTCAGTATTCTACCAAGCTATGGACTGAACAGTGGCCTTTATCCCCTACCTCTTAGAATCCAAGCATGTTGCTCATTTGCCAGTGCAGCAAAAGGGGACAGACTTTTTCCATGTCTTCATTTCACTGCTTTAAAAAGTCAGCTCTGTAGGGCTGTGAGATTGGTCAGGCAGCCCACACTGCCTATACGCTGATCATTCACCTTTCAGGGAGCTAATTATTTGGTAACATTCTACTGTTACATTTCAAAAGAGATTTTTATGGGAAATCCAAGATGCATTTAATTACACCTTGTCACAGTAAATGTCCATCAAGTCATCAGATCAAGACCTCCCCCCTGCCACTGCCCTGCCATGCTTAAACAGAAATCCAGGGCTGATATAAACCCAGAGAATGATTGCACTTCATAAGGGAGGTTTTCTACTTTCCCCCTTTTCACCTCTATAACAAATGTTCTTCCAGAAATATTTCCTACACAGCAGAGATGAGTGAACAAGAAAAGCAGTCAAATAGAGCATAAATGCTATGTAAAAAGTACTTTACTATGTGGTAATTATACTGACACACAATTTTATGTTTTAATAAAATCTAAATGTAGTGCAAAAATCACTCCAAGGAGAGTTCAGAGCTTCCACTTTGAAACCACAAACTGGAGTTTTTAAATTAGAGAAATATATTCTTACTCTGCTGCTTGGAACTGCCAAGTGGCTAAGCATGTTTGCCAGAACTGTGAGAAGAAAACTGCTCAAGAAATTTCTCTAGAAATATGAGAACTATTTGCTTAAATTAGAGCACTAGTTGGTGTCTTATCTGGGGCTGAGAGGTTGACAAAATGATCGTGGCAAGTTATGTTATGTCAATCTATGTGTAAATATGAGATGAAAGAATTCTAACTACAACAAACTGACATGTGCAAGTGCTTATTTCTGAAGATTGATTTTCATTTTACTAATGAGACGGGAGGTGACACATGACCATGTGTTATAAGGATGTACGCAGCAGCCTGCCAATTATGTCAGTGCCTGTGATATCTTTGATCGCCATCTATAAGCATTTCCAGTTCACTTAATGGCATGAGATCTCCTTCCTCTCCACAGTCCCAGAAATCATAACAGGGGACATGGAATCAGCCATGGCAGTGGACCTGAACCCCTGGGTGGAATATGAATTCAGAGTGGTGGCCACCAATCCAATTGGGACTGGAGATCCAAGCACCCCATCTCGAATGATCCGCACAAATGAAGCAGGTAAGAATATTGGAGAGTCAGCATTCTATTTGGTATGTCCCTAATCACTTATAAAGCAAGTTGAATTAACCATTAATGCTTGCTTTAGTATAATTTTTCCTGATTCATTTACCTAAACATCATAAAATCTTTTCCTTCAAAATAATTCTTTCATTTTATCTGTTTTCAGAGCATTCTTTCCTTGTTTCTACAAGTACAGGTCTAGGTGCTTCAATTTCCTCCCAACACTTGCCTGCATCAAGTTACTATGAAACTGAAGCAGTTAGTTTCTTCTTCTAATTATATACTCATTCAGTACAGCAGACCTATACAATTCAGAATAGATTAGCTCACCCTCTTTTTCACCAGTGATAACAGTTACCTCTAATTATAGGGTACTTCCTTAAACTCTTTATGTTGCCCTTTACCATCTGAGCTGGTATAAATTACACTTGGTAAAGACAAACATAGTCTTAACTTGACCTACTGCTATTTTGATGTCTGTGTAAAATAACCGCTTCCTAACTTAGAAAAAAACCCAGTATTCTTCTGGCCTTTTAGAATGACGTATCTCTGATAGAATCTTTCTAAAGACTACACAAGGAAAATTAACAGCTTTATTTAAAAACAAATGTTAAGATATCTTGTCCATCATCTGGAAGAAGCAGAATAAAGAAAAATTGTTAGTAGAGTTTTGATTACTTTGGACAAAGTCTTATTGAGGTTTATCTGTATGTCCCTATAAAATTGTATATAAAAAGTATTTAGTAAGGCACTAGCTTAGGCAAACACAAATATCAATAATGTTGATAAGAATGATTAAAACAACAGAGAAATGAAGAGGGGTTAGATTACAGATACGAGGAGGAGAAAAACAAATTAATGTCTTTACACTCAATGATAACATGAATCTCAATAATCATTACAATGTAAGTACACTAAGGATGAGAATTTTGTCTTATTTGTTCACTGTTTTATCTTCAATACCTAGAACAATGTCTGGCACTGGTACTCCATATGTCTTTGTTGAAAGATTAAAAAGGAATATTCCTTTTCTTTCCTTTATATGCTGCTATCCACATCAAGACCCAGGTCACAGACACATGTACATAGAAGGTTAAGAATGAACTGTGTATTGTACATTTTGTATCATAGTTATAGAATTGGACCAAAAATGTGATTTGTGACTTCTTAGAAATTGAACAAAGCTTATAATAATTAAAATAAATTATCAAAAGAGTTGGTTCTTTCTCTAAAACACACTCAGTCTGGTTCTTAAAAAGAGAAAGAAAGAAAAGATTAGAATCCCAAATGATCAATTATTGCATAAAGTGTGAATAATCATTAAAAAGATGTTCAAATTCTTTTCATATAAAAATTAAGCAACCAAGAAAAGAAAAACTAGTCTAAATATGTTGGAAAAGATTCATTCACAGAAAAATCCAACTTATCTGCTTTTGTGATTTTCCTATCACAAGTTGTTTTTTTCCTGCTACTTTTTCAATAGTGTGAATTTTTAATTGAACATTAATTGCTAGGTTGGATTTCCATGCATTCATGAAATCAGCCATGCTTTCATTGTGTACAGGTGTTCATTAATTAAGAGCATAACAGGTTAGTTGTTCCTCATTTTATGTACTCACTGTGCAGATATTGAAATGACTGCCAATATTAGTACTTAGGCTCACATATTTTCTAAAAAGCACTGCCTTAATTTGCATATTGTTAATTGTGTTTAAACAAAGGCAAAGATTACTGCCTAATTCAGATGTTCTCTATAAATATTCATTTCAAAATAAATAATCCGTTTGGGGTGAATAATCATTTTAGGCTTTCTGTAGTACAAATCTCTTTGTGCTATTAAAAATACTTTAACAACAACACTTTCACTTTTCAAGTTAAATCGTATTCAGATAATGCATTTTAAAAGATTTGTCCCTTGTCTATTTCTGAAGCTACTTCAATCATATAGTGCCTGTCTCTCCATTTTATCATGAGTTCTATACACATGACATACTCTAGTCCATTAAAATCTTATGGAAGAGAAGAGAAATAGCATGAAAAATACATGAAATACTCTTTTTTGAAAGTGAGTTGAGGAAGGTTGTACTGCATACTTTATGCTTCTTGTGCTTTGGTACCACACAGGGCTAAAGCTGCTAACGGTGTTGAACCAAGGGTTGAGTTTTGTGCCTGTTTTGTCAGGCAGCACAGATTAAAAGGGACACTAACATCCTGAGACATCCTCTCAAGTGATGCACTCTGTCTCTATTAAGTGCATGTCCTGTATTTTAAAAGATGATGCTGTTCTAATGGGCGAAGTAATCTTTGAAAACCAATGGAGCTGCCTGGAAGAGAAAAGGTCTCACACTCAGGATATTGAATCAAAAGTTTTATGTCCCTTTAAAATTCTCCTCTTTACTAGAATATTCTAAATCCCAAAACAGTTTTAGTAAAGCATTTTTACCTTAGATTGTTTCTTGCCCACACACCAAAAAAGGTTAATTTTTCTTTGCAATATACTGTAGGGTATATTTTGAATTTTATGGTCATGAAAATACTCTTCATAAGCAATAAATATAAGATAAATTGATTTAGTCAACTTATTGTTTTTAGGATGTCAAAACCGTGATACAAATACAGATTTCCCCAGCTATCTAAAAGGAAAGCATTCCTAAGAAAACTTTTGTAAGCCAAAATGGCATAAAGTGAAGAATCATTTTCCACCTTTTTCATAAAAGTGAAAATCTATTCAGATTTTTTTTCAGTTTGTGAAAACAGGTACTAATGTAGGTCTTTTGTAAAAAAACAAAGTGGTATAAAGCAAACTTTTGAAAAGCAAGGGATACCTGTATATGTTTGCACTTCGATGTTTATATATATTTATTTATAGTTCAGTTTTCTTACAAGTTTTAGTGAGTTTGTTAGCTACAGAGAGAGAGAAATTTGCAAATGTGGAAATGTGTTACTATCTTCAAACCAGTATATGTTTGTGTTGAATACTGGGAATGCTTTCTCTACCATTTAAAAAGATGACACTCAAGAGAGAAAAATCACATTTTAGGAAATGAATTTTGAAATAAACACTCTGGTAGAAATAATAAAATATGTAAATATGAATTTAACAAGAACAATTCTCTCATTTAATTGAGTAACTCTCTCATTTACTGAACTTAAATATTCTGTGTTACATATTTATAACACTAACTGATGAAAGATAAATGAAAAGGAGAGAAGATACCATTAACTATGTAATCTATAGTTTAGAAAGGTTTGGTCTTCTCTGTTCTATAAAATTTCTATTATTATTAAAGCTTTTGGTTTAAATCTCAATACCTGCAGTTTTTTATTTCAAATTATGATGAACTGATAGAGAGAGATAAAGGAAGGTGCTACTTAATACCTGTAATTAAGAGTTCGAGTTTCAGAGTTATGCAGATATGGATTAATGTTCTTCTCTGCCACTTACTAGCAACAAACATAGGTAAGCTATATGCATTGTTCAAGGCTCAATTTTTTCACTTGTAAAATGGAGATCATATAGCAACCTACTCCCTTGGATTATTGTGTTAAATAAGATAATGAAGGTAAAGAGTTTGGCACATGGTAAGTGCTTAACATTAGCCATTTATTATTATTATTATCATGAATTTAAATTAGTTATTACTTTATTAAATATAAATTTAAACGAAAGTAATTATGCATGTTGCTATTTTCGTATAGAGGAAACATTTTCAGGTTAAATATATGTTTGTCAACATAGTAAGAGCCATTCAGTCTCTTGACTTGCAGTTGCCTCCAAGACACTGTCCTGTTGAGAAGTCTCCACAGCAGACTGTGTGTCATCCATCCTGGCCCCTCAGCCCACCTGAATGGTTGGGGAGTCAAGAGAGCCCTTCAGAGTGTGGTGCACAGTACAGAGCACCATGTTCCCCTCTACATCCCCTTTCTCCACCTCCATGTCTGGGCTCTCCATGCTGCTTTTCTTGTCTAGCCATCCTTATCCATAAGTGGATCATGATATTGTCACAACATGTAGCCATTTTCTTTAGTTCTTATAACATAGATAACACAAAAGGAGCAGAGAAGAAGTGTCAAATGAAAGACTTTGCTTAAACACATTGTTGCATATTCAATAATTTTCTAGTTTCTTAGTGCATTGTAGTCTGTCCTGTCATGCTCTTTGGACTTTGAAATGGAAAATGTCACATAACATATTTTTTGCCACACAAGGAAAAACTTTTCTACATTTAAGAGATTAATGGTCAACCAGATAAATATGACTATCATCAGGTAAACAATCAGATGAAAACCTTTCCTAGCCTTAGCATTTTCTGTACTATATTATGTTACCAGTTAGGTAACTGGTTTACTGAACAGACTGAAATACATAGAGTTTAAACATAAGAGTTTTATTCTTCTCCCACCATTGTTCTCCAATATGTTCCATCTCATCTCTGGCTTCAGCCTCAACTATATCCAAGGCTCTTTTAGGTACTAGGACAGTCTCATTTTCAGCTATTAAATAATTCTATACTGGGGAGGAGCTTCAAGATGACGGAAGAGTAAGATGCGGAGGTCACCTTCCTCTACACAAATACATCTACATGTGGAACAGCTCCTATAGAACACCTACTGAACGCTGGCAGAAGACCTCAGATTTCCCAAAAGGCAAGAAACTCCCCACGTACCTGGGTAGGGCAAAAGGAAAAAGAAAACACAGGGACAAAAGAATAGGGACAGGACCTGCACCACTGGGAGGGAGCTGTGAAGGAGGAAAGGTTTCCACACACTAGGAAGCCCCCCGCGGGCGGAGACTGCGGGTGGCGGAGGGGGGAAGCTTTGGAGCCGCGGAGGAGAGCGCAGCAACAGGGGTGTGGAGGGCAAAGCGGAGAGATTCCCGCACAGAGGATCGGTGCCGACCGGCACTCACCAGCCCGAGAGGCTTGTCTGCTCACCTGCCAGGGCGGGCCTGGGAGCTGAGGCTCAGGCTTTGGTCGTATTGCAGGGAGAGGACTGGG